CCCTGACACTGAAACCACTAAGTGCCACACGATGGGAAAGTCGAGTGGAGGCGATAAAGCCTATCAAACACCAGATTGGGAAGATAGATGATGCCATAGTTGCCATTATGGAGGATAATGCTATGACAGGAACTGTTCGTGGGAGAACACTGGCAGAAGGAAATGGAATCACCAGAAACATACATAACTTCAAATTCCTGTGTGGCTTAGTGTTGTGGCATGACATATTGTTTGAAATAAATGTTGTAAGCAAGAGACTCCAAGGTGTTGACCTTGATATATCTGGAGCAATGGAACAACTGGACAAAGCAAAGTCATACCTACAGTCTTACCGGTCAGATGAGGGATTTCAAAACGTTCTGAAGAGTGCACAGAAGTTGGCAGAGGAACTTCACACTGAAGCTATTTTCCCACCCATTCAAGAATACAAGAGTCACCAAAGAAGAAGACATTCTGATTACGAGGCACGGGATAATCCCATAAGAGACCCCAAACAACAATTCAAAGTTGAATACTTTAACCCAGTGCTAGATTATGCAATACAGTCAGTTGAAGACCTTTTCATGCAGCTCAAGGAACACCGCAGTATATTTGGGATGTTGTATGATATTCCAAAACTCCTCACTATACCTGAAGATGACCTACACCAGCAATGCAGGGCACTAGAGACAGCGTTGACACATGATGACATGCGCGATATTGATGCGAGTGATTTAGGTGATAAAGTGAAAGCCCTTTCAAGGTACATTTCAGCAAGACCAACTCCAAAAGCTGTTCTGGAATATATGTGCACAAATAAGATGACCATCCGCTTTCCAAATGCTTTTGTTGCTCAGTGCATACTTCTAACACTTCCTGTGAGAGTTGCCAGTGGAGAACGCAGCTTCTCCAAGCTAAAGTTAATAAAAACACATCTACACTCCACAATGACACAGGAGAGGCTGGTCGGCCTTGCAACCATCTCAGTAGAGCATGAGCTGGACCAGACTGTGGACCTTCAGGAAGCAGTTCAAATCTTTGCAACCAAGAAGGCACGGAAAGCACCACTTTGATTATTCAAACAGATAAAAATGCCAGTGTTTACTATGCAGACAAGAAAAGTTACATTTGCTGTTCAGGCGTTTGAAACTTAAGTTTTACTTAAAATTTTTGAACAAGGCATTTTAAGTTGTTAGTTCTCCTTTATTGGGGTAGGTAGCAGAGCAGTACCAGAGAGGAGTAGAACAGGAAGAAGGCAGAATTGAGACCTTTCAAAGTTTTGGCCCAAGCGAGGGGGTATGGGGGCGTCATTTGAGCTCCCCGCCTCAGGTACCAAAATGTTGTGGGCCGGCCCTGAGAATATAGACTGACTTCTTGTCTACATGAGAAAATTGCACTGGTTTTACTTAAGTAGGGTTACCATATTTAAGGTTTTAAAAAAGAGGACACTCCACGGGGCCCTGGCTCCACCCCTTCCCCAAAGGGGAAGAAAATGCAGTTTCTGCACAATCAAAATTTGAATTTTGCTAATGTTTTCTGATTTTCTGTTGGGTTCATCTAAATGAAGCATTGTGTTTCAGATCAGTTCTACCTGAATCAGATCATTTCAGTTTGTTGAATTGAATCAAAATGTTTAGTTTTGAGTCAGTTCGACTTTAAACTTTGGCACCCCAGTGCCTTCTGGGAGGTGTGGTTTTGGTGCCTCATGCCCTCATTCTACCCTATCAACTTGCCAGACTCCATCTCCCATGATGCATAGTGGTCTGCCCTCTGACCAAGCTGCGTAGTGTAAGTGCATCATGGGAGATGTAGTCAGATTGGGGAGCTGGTAACTGAACGATGTCTCCAATTGGGGCCCCACAGGGAGATGCAGTTTATAGATTCATAGATTCCGAGGCCAGAAGGGTCTGTTGTGATCATGTTGTCTGATGTCCTGTGTAACACAGGCCGGAGACCTGTGATGCACAAAACCGAAAGCCCTAGCCCTGCCCCTTCCCTGAGACCCCTCCCCCTGCCCCGCCCCTTTACTGAGGCCCCACCCCTGCTCACTACATTCCCCCTCCCTTGGTGGCTCGCTCTCCCCCACTCTCACTCACTTTCACTGGGCTGGGGTAGGGGTTGGGGTGCGGGAGGGGGGTGAGGGCTCTAACTGGGGGTACGGGCTCTGGGGTGGGACCAGACATTAGGGGTTCAGGGTACAGGAGGGGGTTTGGGCTCCAGCTGGGGGTGCAAGCTCTGGAGTGGGGCTGGGGATGAGGGGTTTAGGGTTCAGGAGGGGGCTCCAGGCTGGGGGATGGGGCTGAGGGATTCGGAGTGCAGGAGGGGGCTGCGGGTTGAGGGAGGGGTAGGGCTCTGGGCTGGGGATGCTGGCTCTGTGGTGGGGCCAGGGATGAGGGGTTTGGTGTGCATGAGGGGGCTGCAGGTTGAGGTAGGGGGTTGGGGTGCAGAAGGGGGTATGGGCTCTGGGCTGGGGGTGTGTGCAGGCTCTGGGGTGGGGCCAGGGATGAGGGGTTCAGGGTGTGGGAAGAGACTGGGGGTTGGGGTTTGTGGGGGGGTGAGGGCTCCAGCTGGGGGTGCAGGCTCTGAGGTGGGCCTGGGGATGAGGGATTTGGGGTGCTCCAGGTTTGGGGGGCTCATGGCTGGCACCACTGCCAAATACAGAGGTAAAATAACCTCTCTCCGCCTACTTGAGATTCCCAAGTTTGCATTAGCTCTTTTGGGCACAGAGTCACACTGGGAGCTCATGTGCAGCTGATTATCCACCACACCCGCAAATCTTTTTCAGAGTCACTGCTTCCCAGGATAGAGCCCCCCATCCTGTAAGCATGGCCTGCGTTCTTTGTCCCCAGGTATATAAATGTGCATGTAGCTGTGTGAAAATGCAGTTTACCACGCAATCTCTTTGAATCAGTGGCCTGTTCTCTTCATTATTTACCACCCTGCCAGTTTTTGGGTCGTCTGCCAACTCTATCAGTGATGAATGCTGAACCGCCTTGGAACGGATGTTTCCAAATCAAAATGTTCCTGAAAGTTTTGGTCCATGAAAACTTTTGATATTTCACTTTTTCTTTCCCGATTCATGATGAAAACAGAAGCTGAAATGTTGGAATTTCCCACTGGAATGAAATTCTGATTTTTTTTTGCTTAACTCTATCATTGTATGACCTAAGTCAGCGGTTCTCACACTTTAGTAACCCGAGGATCCCCATTTTGATTTAAAATTTTTTTGTGGCACCTCAAGCCCCCCGCTCAGCCATAGACCCTGCCCCCACTCCACCTCTTCCCCCAAGTCCTCACCGCTGCCTCACCTCTTCCCAGCCCCACTCCACCCTGGCCCCTCCTTCTCCCCTCCTCTTTCCGCCCCCTCCCCTGAGCGGGCCCGGTCCCCGTCCTCCCCCTCCTTCCCAGCGCCTCCTGCACGCCGCTGAACAGCTGTTGATCAGCAGGGCCTGTTTCGAGCGTGCAGGAGGCTCTGGGAGGGAGGGGGAGGAGTTGATCAGCGGGGCCCGCAGACCCCCTGGAGTACCCTCGCAGACCCCAGTTTGAGAAACGCTGACTTAAGTGATTTTTTTTTTTACTGACTTTGAACATTATAAGTTATGAAGCGCAGCTACATGAACAGCAATGTTATACCATGAGCACCATTCCTCTTATCAGGCACTGTGGGGCTAAGAGTGACACAGGCTAATATGCTTCTGTTTTGTTGCAGGGCACAGAACGCTGTACGTTGGGGTACGGATGCCTTTGGTGAGACAAAGCCACAGACATCACAGGAATCATGGCCAAAAACATAGGAAACGAGACCGGGCGAAGGGAGCCATTCAAGAAGAAGAGCAGGAATCTCATGGTAAATAAAACCTCAGGCTAATGTATGATGGGAACATAGCATGCGTTTAATGATGGAAGCATAACTTATGTAAGTAATGGGAATAAATATTTTTTAGTAGATCCATCGATTCCGATGCCAGAAGGGACCATGATGATCATCTAGCATGACCTCCTGTATAACATAGGCGAGAGATCTTCCCCAAAAGAATTCTTAGAGCAGATTAGTTAGAAAAACCCAGAGTCTTGATTTAAGAGTTATCCAGGATGGAGTATGCACCACAAGAGTTGGTAAATTGCCTGGCGTTGCTCTTCTTGGGCTAACATGGAGCACTGGGCATTGAAAGTTCATTGCCCAATCTCACCCCAGTGAAAGCAACATCTGAATTTTTTATTCGCTCTGAAATAGTTAGAGCCAAACTTGTGCTAGTTAGCGTGTACGAAATTAAGAGGGGAGATCCTGGCTCCACTGAAGTCAGTGGGAGCTTTTGCCGTTCGCTTCACGAGGGCCAAGAATTTACTCCTAGTAATTCAGTTTATGATCAGCATTTATTATTTGTAGGGGAAGCACCCAGGGGACCCCTACTAGGATTGGGACCCCATTATGTTAGGTGTGATACAGACACATAGCAAGCAGCGATCCCTGTCATAAAGAGGCTTTCAGTTGAAATAGACAAGACAGAGGAAAGGTGGAAGAGAAACATGCAGCATACAAGCAAAGTTATCCAAGCGAAAGCTGGGAACGGTCGTGTTATCTCATGATTTGTTTTTGGCTCTGTTCTTTTCTTTGGGGAATTTTTAATCTGCAAAATACATTTATAATAATAGACTCACAGAAAGGTAGGACTAAAAGGAACCTCGAGAGGTCCTGAAGTCCAGGCCTTCGTACTGAGGAAGGATCACATATACCCTGTCAGGTGTTTGTCTAACCTGTTCTTAAAAACCCTCCAATAACTGGGATTCCACAACCTGCCTTGGAAATCTATTCCAGTACGTAACTACCCTCCTTGAATAGTTAGAAAGTTTTTCATAATATCTAACCTACATTTCCTTTGCTGCAGATTAAGCCAATTACTTCTTGTTCTACCTTCAGTGGATGTGGAGAACAATTGATTGCTGTCCTCTTTCTAACAACCCTTAACATATTTGAAAACTGCTATCATGTCCCCGCTCCCAACCAGTCTCCTTTTCTCAAGACTAAACGTAGCCGTTTTTTTTAACCTTTCCTCATACGTCACATTTTCTAATCTTTTATCATTTTCGTTGCTCTTCTCTGGGCTCTTTCCAATTTGTCCACATTTTTCTTAAAGTGCGGCGTCCAGAACTGGATGCAATACTTCCGCTGAGGCCTTGCCAGTGCTGAGTAGCGCGGGCCAATTACCTCCAGTATCTTTCATGTGATACTCCAGGAGTAGGGGTGAGGTGAGATGGGGACATATGAATTAGTGGAAAAGACAGCGGCATTAACTGAAAGGTCACTAACATTATGATGTATTTAGGACCAAACTCAACAGGGAATTTGAGGTGTTGCCATGACAATACTAAAAACCGGGGCTTTATTCCGTTGTGTTTTATGTAAATCTATTTGCTGTAATGTCTCATGCAAACAACATCATGTAAACGTGGGCCCTCTTTTTGGAGATGTGATAGTATCTTTGTCCCAGATTTGTACTTGCTCAGCACCTCCATTTATTTAAAACGCCTGTAAATCAAATGTTTTGAATTTTTCCTTCTACTTCTTCTCCTTTTATTATTATTATTAATTATTTTGCTATGCCGGTAGCGTCTGGACGTTCCAGTCGTGAGCTAGAACCCTGTTGTGCTAGTGCTGTACAAACATAGAACAAGAATCTCTGCCCCAAAGAGCTCAAGTTCCAAATAATTCAATTTTTTACAAATCTAATACAAATTTTATCACAGGCGCTGACTTTCTAATTTCCCAGGGGGTGCTTGACTCACGCTCTGCCCCAGGCCCTGCCCCCACTCCACCCAGTCCCCCAAGGGCCGACCCTGCCCTTTCCCACCCCGTTCCACCCCCTCCCCCAAGCGCCTCGCCCGACCCCTTCTCCCCCC